TCAGACGGAGGACCATGTGTGGGACTCTGGACTATCTGCCGCCGGAGATGATCGAGGGTCACACTCACGATGAGAAGGTTGATCTGTGGTGCATCGGTGTGCTGTGCTACGAGTGTCTGGTGGGAAACCCTCCGTTCGAGACGGCCAGCCACACAGAGACATACAAGCGCATCACTAAGGTCTGTCTGCGTTAATCACTGCCTCTGCTTTTTACTGAAATACCTCTGTTTTAGTGTGAACGAACCCTCGCTGTCTGTCAGCAGAAACACTTCAAAAGAAATTGACTCTAGAGAGGAGTGTTTTGCTGAACTTTCACTACTTCAGACTTATGTGCCTCTAGAAGTTTGTGTTCTGCAAGTGAATGTTGCTTTTAGTGCGGTGTTCGGTACATTGATACGATGATGTATCGATTCCGCTGTCCCTGTGTCGATATTGTGGACCGTGCTTAATTTGAACACAAGAACACAGAGTAGAAAACTGCAAGGTTTCTAAAAAAATGAATAGAAAGCTTTCATTTAAATTGCACATAAAGGCAGTTTATGTTTGTACAACTGTTTTTATTCCAGCGTTGATTTTATTTTATTAATGTAGCCAAAAAAAAATGAAACTAAATTTGAGTCTTTTAATCTTGGTTTCACTAAAGTCGTTTTGGTCCATTATTAACCTGTTTAATCCCAATTTTTTTTTTCCAGATATGAAAATATCCAGATGTGTCATTAGTAACCCTTTAAAATTATTATTATTTTTTATTTTTTGAAAAGTGTGTGAAAAATTGTGTTTTATGGTCGGTCACAATTGTGACCGGTGGGATAATGTGTACTGAATTAACATATTTCTGCAGTCATAAAAATTGTTATAGATGTCAGCCCAGCTATTATAAACCGTTTCATCAAATTCTAGGGTTACTGTTATGCATAATAACCCTTGTACAACGCTGATAGGAATTCTGAGATCAAATACAAAAAAAATACAAATCCAACCATCAACGTATTTCAAAGTTGTTACTTTATTGTAACATGTATCATAAAATTGTTATATTAGTGCTACCAGTATTGCAACACCAATATTGTAACTTATTTGTAACATTTTAACTTTTTTAGTGCAGTTTTTGTCATTGCAACATTTAGTGCAGCTTTCACTAACAACTGCATTTGAATTTTTATATATACAGGTGCGTCTCAAAAAATTAGAATATCGTGAAAAACTTTATTATTTTTTGTAACTCATTTCAAAAAGTGAAACTTTCATATATTCTAGATTCATTACATGTAAAGTAAAACATTTCAAAAGTTTTCTTGTTTTTATTTTGATGATTCGAGTTTACAGCTCATGAAAGTCAAAAAATCCAGTATTTCAAAATATTAGAATATTTCCTGACATCAATCAAAAAAAGGATTTGCAAAACAGAAAAGCTCAAGTTCTTTAAAGTATGTTGATTTCTGCACTCAGTACTTGGTCGGGGCTCCAGCATCAGTGAGGTGTGAATGGAAGCGATCGGCTCAGCTTCAGCTCGGATCCAGGGTTTCTCATCTTTCTCTTGAAAATATCCCATAGATTCCAAATGTTTCATCTGAAAAGAGAACTTTGAAGCACTGAGCAACAGTCCAGTTCTTTTTCTCCTTAGCCCAGGTAAGATGCTTCTGACGTTGTTTCTGTTTCAGAAGTGGCTTGGTAGCCCTCTTCCTGAAGACGTCTGAGCGTGGTGACTCTTGATGCACTGACTCCAGCTTCAGTGAAGCTCTCCCAAGTGTTTGAATCTGCTTTGCTTGACACTGTTCTCAAGCTTGCCATCATTCCTGTTGCTTGTGTACCTTTTCCTACCTGATTTCTTCATTCCAGTCAACTTTGCATTTAATATGCTTTGATACAGCACTCTGTGAAATAATGAGCTTCTGTGGCTTACACTCTTTGTGGAGGGTGTCAATGATTTTATTCTGGACCACTGCCAAGTCAGCAGTCTTCCCCATTATTGTGGTTTCACAGAACAAGAGATACATGGAATTTATACTGTAGGGATGGTCATTTAATGATACTCAAATGTAAATATTCTAATATTTTGAGATACTGGATTTTTGACTTTCATGAGCTGCAAGCTCTAATCATCAAAATTAAAACAAATACAACTTTTGAAATGTTTTACTTTACGTGTAATGAATCTAGAATATATGAAAGTGTCACTTTTTGAAATAAGTGACAAAAAACATAACTTTCACGATATTATAATTTAAGTTCTTAAATTCACAGTTATCCCACCGGACCATCAACATGTTTACTCATTCTATGACAACACTCAACAAAATGTAATAATTGTGAATTCATATATTAATACTAGACACCTTAAAGATAACATGTACCAAAAATCTTTCTCATACCTTTGTTAACGTACTTGACAAGCCTTTTGTTTTAGAGCTTTGATGCAGCTCACGGTGCAAAGAGGAATTAAACTGCTCTGGTCATGTGACGATCTGCACTAAACATGTGACACTGACTGCACACATTTCATTCAGATCCTTTATTTTTATCATATTTGCAGGAAGTGCACTAAAACATCAGTCAGTAAGGTTTTTAGAGCTTTATAAATAAGAACTTATTTTATGGTCACGGATTAAATGGCTTAAGAATGTCCTTTTCAGGAATTGTAAGGAAAGTATGAAGAAAATAAGAACATTCCGAACGGATTTTGCGACTGCAAAGTGTTCCTAACACAGAAGTTAGCACAAGCGGCTGTCAGGTTTTGTGCTGATGTGTGTTGGATGTGCGTTTGTCGCAGGTGGATCTGCAGTTTCCCAAGCTGGTTTCTGACGGCGCTCGGGATCTGATCTCCAAGCTGCTGCGTCACAGTCCAGCCATGCGTCTGCCGCTCCGCAGCGTGATGGAGCACCCCTGGGTCAAAGCCAACTCACGCCGGGTGCTGCCACCCGTCTGCAACCCGCATCACTGACCTCAAGGACCCGTTTGAGACACGCAGGCCTGCTGCTCCGAGTCCACTGGTGATGCTTGTGCTGTCAGCTGAATGTTGCACTGTGTCAGAAACATTGGATCCAGGGCCCGATTGTGTGTGTGTGTGTGTGTGTGTGTGTGTGTGGGCGCTATGTTAATTGGTTACAAACGTATTTAATTGTGCCCGTTAATGAGCCCAGATGTAAACGAACTCTGAAGTTTGTTCCCTTCTGTTTTACACTGTCCTATGTAGCTGTAGTTCTGCTGTTCTGTTCATATTCATGTTGTTTTATAATCTATGGATGTCTGTCTTATACTGAACCTATGAAATATAAACCAGTGCGTTTTAAGTATGTTTGGTGGTGTAGCTTTTTGATTTGCACAAAGTGATTGTTAAACTCTGCATGCATTCAGGCTTGATGTAGCTTTCTGTATCAATTTCTTTTGGAAACACAGATGCAACTAGAATCATTAAACCGGTCCTAGTGTACTAGTAATTAACTAGTAGTTTTTAAAGTTTGTGGTAGTAATTAGTTGGCTTCTACTGGAGTACTGACTAGTTCCTGGTTTGCTTTTAACTGCTGGTGAAATAACTTTAAAGGGATATTTCACCCAATAATTAAAATTGTCATTTATTCACTTTCATGTTGTTCCAAACCTGTCAAACACAAGATATTCTGATGAATGTTGGGAACCGAACAGTTGATGGTAGCCATTGACTTCCATAGGATTTTTATTTTGTTTTTTCGTTCTATGGAAGTCAATCCGAACAATTTAAGAGATGGTAAACTACTGAGTTTTCATTTTCGGGGTGAACGGTCACTTTAACTTGTATATAAACATTAGATTCAATTCTTCAGATGGTTCTACAGAATGATTTTCGTTCTTATTGGCAACGGCTAGAAGCAATTTTTACTGGTTACTCATTACAAATTACTCCTTTCAAAAGTAATATTACGTTACTTATTACTTTCTGGCAGCAGTAATTAGATACACTACTAGTTACATTTCCTTCACGCCCCACAGAAGTTATAATTGCGTGTCTTACCCAACAACCAAAAACTCTTCTGAAATGTTACTAACATTTCTGCCTCATTTCACCAAAAACCACACTGGATCGCAGTCAGAAGTTGTTACAAACACTGATTGATAGTAAAAGTGTCGTATTCTCATTGTGTAGCTATGTTAATTGTAGCTATAATTTCTCTGTTACCCATATACAATTATATTTCATGATACATTTTAGAAGTTCATAAGAAAATGTTGGTCTGTATGTCAATAGAAACAAAAATTCTATTGACTTTGAGAGACATCCTGACGCGTGGCGGCTCAGCGGTAGCGTGGCCGAGCGGTCTAAGGCGCTGGATTAAGGCTCCAGTCTCTTCGGGGGCGTGGGTTCGAATCCCACCGCTGCCACATCGTTTTCATAACATCTAATTAAAATGAACACTATCGGATCCCAAACATGCCGTTCACTAGTGATGGCCACTTTTGAAGCACTGCTTCGAAAACTGAGCGAATCATTTGCCGTTTGGATCGATGATCTCTGCGGATGCACTGAGAGCGCCCCCCAGCGGCGAACCACTGAACCAGTGTATGATTTATACCTGATAAGCCCGCCCTGCAAATTAATAAAATGACACATTATACAGATACTTCATATTTGATGCTGTTAATTGCATTTAATATATTATAATGGGTTTGTAAAAGCTGTATTCATTCGTGTTTTGGTCTGAGTTTTAGTTGCATTTACACAGTTTGACCAGCAGGCGTCACCAGCGTGTGGTGTTTCGAGCGCTTCGTGAATCATTTTGCGAATCAATTGGTTCAGTTGATTCAAAGCTTCGGTTCTCCCACACAACACTACAGAATAGATGTTGCTCGTTTTCATTTTTGATAATTGTTACAATTATTATTATATTGTGTGAGTTGACACTAAATCAAGCATTAAAAACACTTTTTTTCAGTTGCAGCGCGTCCTCAAGATGGCGCTGAATTTCCGCGCGTTTCTTCTTCTGTTTCCTGTGCGCTTTGTAAACTTCCGGCTGGTTGTTTATTCTGTGACGCGCCGCGGCGGTTCGGTTGGTTCCGGAGGTTCTGCCGGTGTTCGTGTTCCGCGATGGCGGCGCTTCACCCCGGGGATCCGCAGCTGGTGTCGGCGATCGTCAATCACCTGAAGACGGAGGGTCTGTTCGATCAGCTCCGCAGAGACTGTCTGGCGGACGTGGATACAAAGGCAAAACACGCACATATTTACCTCACAACAGCACCGAAGTACCTCGCGTTTACCATGAGTTTAACACGGTGAAAACAGTGTGTTCTCCGAAGTAACTAGTACTATCACAGAACTAATAATGTATTTATACTTCACGTAATTGATTATTATGAGAATGTCGCGAGTAACCGCTCTTTTTTAAATTCGCGCACTTTTATAAGCCAACTGTCAGTTTAGCAGCTCACAGGGTTTCTGTTAATGATTTAATTTTGATTAGTGTTGTGTCTGAAATCTCTCAAATGAACTTAACACGAACGCACAAGTTCGCATCCGGGATAGTGTAAACGAATTCAGGTCTTATCGGGTCCATTTGAAAAAAAAAAAAAGCAAATTTATTTTAAAGTACCCGAGGCCGCTTATACTGAACCCGACCCGTTTCCGAGGCACTCGTAGAAGTTCTGGACCCGAACCCGCTCGGGTCTCGGGTCGGACCTCATGTTTTCGGATCCAAGTGGACCCGTGAAGACGTCTACGTGACACAGTAGCTTTGTAGGGTTAATTTTGTTGTTTTCTTTCTCTCAGCCGGCGTATTTGCACTTACGACAGCGAGTCGACAACTTTGTGTCCAACCATCTGGCAAACCACACATGGAGCCCACAGCTGAACAAGAACCAGCTGAGAAACAGCATCCGACAGCTGGTCCTGCAGTACGTCTATCTGTCTGTCTGTCTTTATCTCTGTCTGTCCGTCTGTCTGTCCATCTGTCTGGCTGTCCATCTGTCTG